CACGCCTCCCAGCTTCTGAAACTCTTAAAGGGCGGGAGGCGCCGGCGGGAAGGGGTTAACCTGTAAATCTTTGTCTGTGGGTACCTATAAAGTGACCCTATACTGAAAAATACACGGTAAAGCCAAGTTGTTAAAGACCGTAAATACTTCTTACCACTGCCTTGGCACCAGACATATTTGATCTTGAGAAACTGACACTTCAGGAAGTATCGTTCTCCGGAGTCTTCCTTGTACCTCTTGCTAGTTCCTCCTGCTGACCTTCATATCTGGACGTAGTAATGAAGTGATGAGTGGAGGTCTGGTGGAGAAACCAATAACAGGCTGCAGAATCCCCCAGGAGATTGACTGACTGTCCCTGAAGTGTCTGGGGGTTTTTGTTTTTGTTTTTTTGTTTTTTAAACCATTGCTTAAAGTTTTTTGCTCCGTCTTATTTTCCTATTGGTTTCACAATAACCTGCACGCAAGCTACGTGTCTCAGCAGTGAGATTTCTCGCTGTGTTTTGGCAGGCTTGAGCATGTAACTTGCACTGTAAAGTTAAAAAATTTTTAATTTTTTACCGCTGCAAGTTCATGCAAGCGTCCTGTCATGTCTGCTCTGGGCTGGGGAAGTTTTAGACAGTCTCCCTCCAAGTGGAAGTTTTATTTTAGTTTTCTTTTAAGGAAGAATCTGTTTATTGGTTACTGCATCTAAATTCCCTTTTTAAATTAGGCCGTTACTAAATTTTAATTTTTTTTATTTAGAATATTGAACAGCGGGCTTGCACAGGTTCACTCCGGCTTGGCCGGAGCATGATTGTATTTGTGGTTTTAGGTGCGCTTCCTTTTGAGTGCATCAAAGGTGCAGCATGCAGGACTTTGATGCATTTCAGGAAAATGCACAGTCTAATAGAATTCAGAGGGAATGCTCCTAAAACCGCGAACCCGCTCTAATTATTCTTCCTCCAAAACTGTGTTTTATGAATACCTCAAAGGAACTGTTCAGAATGGAATTATATGAGCTACGTTTGCAGGTTCTAAATGGTGCAAACTCCACATCCTCACTAAGGCTGGGTACACACAGACCGTAAACAATCCATTCTGCAGGAACTGGACAACTTGGCCCGTGTACAGCTCCCTGATCAACTTCTGCTGGAAAATTGCAGTCCTTCTGCCAATGTTTTAGGTCCGTGGTCTCCAAACTGTGGCCTTGGTGAGTTGCGGTCCTTTGCTTGCCTTTATCCGGCCCTTGCGACAATAATGCCTGCCACTTACTGACAGCACCAGTGATGGCATAACTCTGCCACTGACAGCACCAGTGATGGCATAACTCTGCCACTGACGGCACCAGTGATGCATAACACTCCTGCCACTGACAGCACCAGTGATGGCATAACTCCTGCCACTGACTGGCACAGTGATGGCATAACTCCTGCCACTGACGGCACCAGTGATGGCATAACTCCTGCCACTGACTGGCACCAGTGATGGCATAACTCCTGCCACTGACGCAACTGTGATGGACGGCATAATGTACATAAACCTGCCTATCATGCGGGCACCTCAGTGATGGATTGCTTCCACTGGGCACAGTGATGGCATAACTCCTGCCACTGACGGACCAGTGATGGTGGTAACTCCTGCCACTGACGGCACCAGTATTTTTGCACTAAACCTCCTGCCACTGACGGCACCAGTTTGGCATAACTCCCACTGCCACTGGCACCTCCTGCCTCTGGAGTTGGCATAACTCTGCTCCCTGACGGCACTGCGTGATGGCATTTCCTGTGTGACGGCACCAGTGATGGCATAATCCTGCCACTGACGGCACCAGTGATGGCATAACTCCTGCCACTGAACGGCAACCAGTGATGCGGGATAACTCCTGCCACTGAGGGGGGGGGGGGTGAATGGCACCAGTGATGGCATAAACTTTCCCACTGACGGCACAGTCGGATGGCAATAAAACTCCTGGCCACTGACGGCACCTGGTGGTGATGGTTATAACTCCTGTCCTGACGTCCCAGTTATGGTGTCTGTCATGTGCGTTAACGTAGATGTGCATAATCGCCACTTGCCGGGTTACGGCACAGTGATGGCATAATCCTGCCAATGACGGCACCAGTGATGGCATAACATTGCACTGGCACCATGATGGCAGTAACTCCTGCCACTGACACTTATATATCTACCGTAGTTTGAATGGACTGGCCCATAAGACGCGCCTAGGTTTGCCACTGACGGCACAGTGATGGCAAAAATCCTGCACTGAACGGCAACATGATATGGCATAACTGCAGACTGACGGCACCAGTGATGGCGATAACTCTGCCACTGACAGCCACAGTGATGGTCATTAGACTCCTGCACTGACCGCACCAGTGGATGGCATAGTAACCCTGCCACTGACGGCCCGCACCAGTGAGCAATAACTCCTTGCACTGACGGCACAGTGAGCCCGGGATAAACTCCTGCCACTGCGGCAGCCCAGTGATGGCATTACTCCTGCCACTGACGGACAGCCAGTTGATGGGATAACCCTGCCAGACTGACGGCAACAGTGATGATGCCCAGACTCCTGCCACTGCGGACAGTGATGGTCATAACTCCTGCCACTGACTGCGGCAGGCACAGTGATGGATGACTCCTGAGCCTGCTGGACAGCACAGGAGCATAACTCCTGCCCACTGCTGGCCCCAGCACAGGAGATGGACCAGAGACTCTTGCCACTGACGGCACCGTGAGATGACCAGAGACTAACCGGCGAGACCACTGACGACTGCGGACACCAGTGATGGCATACCTGCGACTGCGGACAGTGCACTGGCATAAACGCTTGCCCAGAGACTGACGGCACCGCACAGATAGATGACCAGAGACTCCTGCCACTGACGCCACAGGCTGATGCCAGACTCCTGCCACTGACTGGCACAGGATGGCATATACGCCTTGCCCAGACTGGCACCTGCAGTGGTCATACCGCTCCTGCCAACTGACTGCACCAGTGCATGATGGCATAACGGCCACTGACAGCACAGGAGATGCCCAGCGACTGCCACGGACAGCCACCATTGATGCCCAAGAACTCCTGCACTGGACGGCACCAGTATAATGGCATAAACTCCTGAGCCACTGCGGCAGCCAGTTGATGGCATAACTCCAGCCACTGGACTGCGGCAGCACAGGATGGCATGAACTCCTGAGACTGCGGACGGCACCAGTGATGTCATGTAACTCCCACTGACGACTTTGTTGACCGGCTATCACAAGGAATGCCCAGATGCCATGCGGCCCGCACTGGGTTACAGATTTTATGGACCCCCCCCTGCGGACAATAGAGCTTTCATTTGGTGGTATGATCCCCCTCATGCAGGACTATAAAGCAAAAAAGTCCTTCAGGTTAGGATGACCAGGCTCACGGCACTACCACCTGGAGATTGGCAAATGTTCTGCTGTGACCTGCACGTGGGTTTTTGACTCTGGACTCGGTTTCCTCCTCCCACGCCCAAAGACAATGGTTGGTAAGGTTAATTGGCTGTCTAAAATTGTCCCTAGTATGTTGTATGTTATGAATGTGAGTTAGGAACCTAGATTGTACGCCCCTTTGAGAGATGGACCAGATTGTACGCCTTGCGGTTTAGGGACCAGATTGTACGCCCCTTGCCCGAGGTTTAGACTGTGAATGTACAATAGCATATGTAAAGTGACCAGTGTAAATTGATGGCGCTATATAATACTTAAAATAAAATTAAAAAAATATATATACCGGAGATGTTCGCTCCATAAGAGACGCGCACTAGGTTTTTAGAATGACCAGGACTGCAAAAAGATTCAGCAAGGAGATGACGGGCAGACTGGACAGCGCAGGAGAAGATGACCAGACAGCTGCGGACCGCGCAGGAGATGACCCGAGACTGCGGACAGCAGGAGATGACCAGAGACTGCGGACAGCGCAGGAGATGACAGAGACTGCGGACAGGCAGGAGATGACTGCTGACCTTTTTGGGGAGGAGGGGGAGCGGGTACCTGAATTTGATCAGGTACCGCTCTTCTGCGGAGTTGTAATTTGATCTTACCTGTTCTCTATCCAGCGCACGCTGTCTTCCCCGCTTCTGTAGTGTGGGCGCTCGGCATGACAAACCGGGTGCGCATGAGCGAGAAGCACTTGCGCTTTGTGATTGGTCCGGTGGCTTCTGGGATCTGTCATGTGTCCCAGGTACGCCTTACCCTTCACAAACAGCACCACTTCTTGCGCATGCGCACTTGGCACCCGGCTGTCATGCCCAGCGCCCCACTACAGAAGCCAGGAAGACAGCGCGCCGCTGGATAGAGGAACAGGTAAGATCAAAGATCAACTCCGCGGAAGTAAGAGTGGGTACCTGTCAAATTACCCGCTCCCCACCCCCCCCCCCTCCCCAAAGGTCAGCAGTCATCTCCATAAGGTCCCGCTGCAGAGCTGGGGAGCGGCCGGGCCCGGTATTCTGACCCGGGGGGGTGGAAATACGGACGGCGCGCTCCATATTCGCTCCATAAGACGCACTGACTTTTTCCCCCTTTTTGGGGGGGGGGGGGAAAAGTGCGTCTTATCGGAGCGAAAATACGGTATATATTTTTTGCAGCCTGTAGCAGTACTTCTAATATAGGGCGATGGCCAAGCGGTTAACTGGGGATAATATTTTCCACACTCATTTTCTGTCCAGCAGTTCTATAGAGGAAAACCTACAAAATGTGTTCTGGCTTTTGTCTGACATAGCGTTTAAGGAGAACTGCAAAGTGGCACACAATATTACATTGAGGACTAGCCGGGTCATGTGGGGAACTTCTGCATATGTAGATGCGAATCTTATTTCTTTGTCATGTTTTAATCTTAATTTTAGATGGTTACCTTTTTTTAAAAAAATAAAATAAAAAAATTTGTCTTGGAAGTGTGTTGCTTTTTAAGAGTTAAAAGAAAAAGATTTAGAGTTTTCCTCATAGTATCTTAGAAACTCAACGTGTGACTTGTGCTGCTTTCTGTTTTATAGGAAACGCCCAACGCATTTGAGAGTGAACTGCTGGTTTTGTAACCAGCATACAGTAGTGCCCTATGGCAATCGTAACTGCTGGGACTGCCCCAAAAACTGTGAACAGTACAATGGATTTCAGGAGGTAAGTGCACTGGTACAGGGTAAGTCTTCAGAAATGTCATGTAAAACTACAACAAAAGACATTCCAGCTCACTTACAACCCCAGCCTACAACAAACCAAATTGTCTTGTCTAAAACAGTTCATGTTAAAAACAGGGGTTTCGTTGTACACATTTGCAAATACACATGTAAGCTGCAGGCCCCACGTTCATAAAGTCTTTTCACAATAAAATCGAACATGTGCAGGCCTCCTCCTCATTAGGTGACTGGAATCAAACAGAAAAAAAATGCGCACTCACCCGACCGCACATTTTAAATGCGCCTGTGTGTGATTTTATCCAGAAGACCAGCCAGGCATGCAGCTCCAGAAAACACATGGATCATCCCTCTAAACACTGACATCAGCCTTGGGTGCAGCAATATCTCCAGATCCAGAGACCCTCTCGCCCAAATGATAGGTAGACAGGGATCCCCCTTCTGGTTCTAGGTACCCCAAAAGTGGTAGGTGTAGATCTGAAAACCCTCCAACAGGAGAGTCAAAGAAAAGAGGGAACGCCAATAGTGTGTAGTAGGCTCAAAACTTTATTAGAGCAACAATAATAAAGCCAGGGTCACATGTGCATACAGATACCATCGACCATTACGGGCTGGTAAGTGTGAATAAAGTAAACCATGTACTAACACGGCAGAGGGAGGAGCCAGTAGCAAGTGTGACTTCCTGACCACTGAGACCATGAGGAGGTCCAGTGGTCTCTGATCTTTACCTCTGCCGGGTTAGTACATGCCTGGCTGGTCTTCTGGATAAAATCACACACAGGCGCATTAAAATGTTGCGGTCGGTGATTGTGCATTTTTTCTGTTTGATTCCAGTCACCTAATGAGGAGGAGGCCTGCACATGTTCGATTTTATTGTGAAAAGACTTTATGAACTATTTTATACAGCGCTGCACTATATATATTTAAAGGAACACAAATATTGCTCAGCATAAATGTGGACAACCCAACAAATTTGGCAGAAATCCTTTCAGAATCAACATTTTTCTATGGGAGGCTATGCTACAAATTACTCCCACAAATGCGGGCCATTGATTGCAAACAAGATTTGTTAAATTTGCAAAGTATTTTTCCTAACAAACTATTCAAGACCATGTTGCAAAAATGAATACACCCCAATGAAAGTCTTAGGAGCAAAGCTGAATTTTAAACAAAATCCTAATTAACAAGAATTCAGCTACAGGTGAGTCTAAATATTCATTAAACAGGTGTCCAATGGACAGTTTAATATAAAAGGGCGTTAATTGGCAAAGAAAACCCCCTCCAATTTCATGCTGTCAGCAATGGCACCACATGAAGAGAAATGTCACACAGCCTGAGAGAGAGATAATTTCTTTACATAAGAAAGGTGAAGGCTACAATAAGATCAGCAAAGCTTTACTTGTCAGTCAGAATACTGTAACAAAAGTAATATAAAAATGTAACAAAGATGGAACTGCAACCACCTCACAGAGACGTCCGGGCCGCCCACGGAAGTTAGCACCTCAACAGGAGCATATTCTGATGAGAAGGATTGAAGAAAATCACCATACAAGTTTACTGTAGTTAGCTAAAGAAGTAGAAAGCCAAACTGTGGTGATTGTTTCCTGTGACACAATACGGTGTACACTGCAGAAGAATGGCATGCATGGGTGTCATCCATGAAAGAAGCCTATCCTAAAGCCCATGCACAAAAAAGCCCACCTAGAATTTGCCAGGGCCCACGCTGAAAAAGACGACGACTACTGGGACTCTGTAGTGATGAGACCAAGATGAATGTTTTTGGAACTGATGGTTTCCAAACTGGATGGCGTCGCAAAGGTGATGAGTACAAAGAAAAATCCATGGTGCCTACAGTGAAACATGGTGGTGGCAGTGTCCTGTGAGGCTGCCGGTGTCAGGGAGCTGCATTTCATTGATGGTATCATGAATTCACAGATGTACTGCTCTATACTGAAAGAGAAGATGCTCCCATCACTCCCTGCCCTCGGTCGTTGTGCACTTTTCCAACATGACGATGATCCAAAACACACATCTAAGGCCACTGTTGCATTTCCGAAGAAGAACAGGGTGAAAGTGATTCAGTGGCCAAGTATGTCTCCTGATCTGATCCCAATGGAACACCTATGGGGAATTCTGGAGAGTTAGGTTGAGCATCACACTCCATCCAGCATCCAGGATCTAAAAGAGGTTGTTCTTGAAGAATGGAAAACGATCGATGTTGCAATATGTCACCAACTTGTTCATTCCATGCCTAGAAGACTTGGTTGTCCTTACAAATCATGGAGGTCATACAGAATAAGAGATGCAGTAGTTCTTGTTGTGAGGTGTATTCATTTTTGCATCCACTAATTTGAGTAAAGCTGAGCATTTTGTAATCAAAGTTATATTAACCTTACTTTCATGTAATGGGTTAAACAAATGAAACTCAGTTTTGTCAAAATTCTGGAATTTTTTTTTCTTGTGCTCGTTTGAGATATTGATAAAATCTTACTTTTCAAAAGGGGTGTACTCATTTATGCTGAGCACTGTACATAATGGATAGATTAAGGCCAGTTATGCCTGGAGGGAGCCTACCCCTCAAAGGCACAGGGGCACCCAGAAAATGGCACAATGACAGCAAAGGTGTCCAGTGTACCCCTTCACCAATTAACCATGGTACAAACAAATGGCAACTTCCCCAGCCTATAATTGGCCTTTTTATAGCAAGGAGCAGAAGGGCGAATGTCAAACAACAACAGAAATTAGTTTTTATAAACCACACTAGACTGCTTCAGGCAGCACAAGCTCAATGCTTTGATTAAGGTTTTATGGCCGGTTCACACCATGCCTGTACATGAATCACACAGGACGATGTGCGATTCACACCGCATGCAAAATGCACTCCATTTGCAATCTGCAGTGGGTGTCAATACAAAGTTAATGACACCCCAAACGGAGGTCACAAACAGTGCGTTTGTACCACACAATCTAGTAGCAGTGTTTTAAAATGTAGTACATGCGTCCATTCAAAATAAGAAATCGCACTGCACAGAATGCATGCCAATTGCTCAGGAACACGCAGTCCGATCCTGTGCGATTCATGTGCAGGCATGGTGGGAACCAGCCCTTACTAATGACCGGTGTCCACTGATATAAAAAATTGTAAGAATTCGTGCTTTTGGAAGCCACAGAGGCCAACCAGTTGCTATTGGCTTTCTGACAAATTCAGACTGGCTGGGGCCATTTTTGAGGTGGAAGGGCTCCCAATTAACAGGAGAAAGGGGGGGAGTGATGGGTTGTATTTTCAAACTTGCTTGATTTGCCTGAATATGTCCTAAGTTGCAGTAAATGTAGGTTTTTTTTTTTTGATATAGATATAGATAGATATAGATAGATATAGATAGATATATATATAGATATATAGATATATATAGATAGATATAGATAGATATAGATAGATATAGATAGATATAGATGGATATAGATAGATATAGATATTCTCAAGTTGTCCTTTTTAGCTGACTTGTATCTCTTGGTAGGCTTAACCGGTTTTTTCTTTTCTTTATAGAATGGTGACTACAATAAACCTATCCCCGCACAACACAGTGAACATCTGAACCATGCAGTATCCAGTGGCAGCACGATCAGCGAGGTCACAAAACCGCAACAGTGGGTGAACTGTCAGCTTCTGCTGTGTAGGAAATGCTTCAATAATCAGAACACCAAGATAAAACAGCTGGCATCCTTCATTCCCAGGGAAGAGGTGGGTAAAGGCAGACTTAAAGGAACACTACACTGTAAACCAAAATACAAAAAATTATATTCACTTACCCAGGCATGCAAAGGACAGGATTTCTGAATATCTGATACAGCACTTAAAAGCACCCTCCCTCATACAGTTAGATCCATATATATTTGGACACAGGCACCATTTTTTTGTTTTTTCAGGTGTTTACCAAAGCATATTCAAGCTATAGTTCTATCATGGATTTGGGCTGAAAGTGCGAACACTCAGATTTAATTTGAGGGTATTTACATCCAAATTGGAGGAAGGGTTTATGAATTACAGCTCTTAAGCGTAGCCACCCCCCCTTTTTTTTTTTCAAGGGACTAAAAGTAATTGGACAATTGAATCAAAAGCTGTTTTATGGCCAGGTGTGGGCTACTCCTTTGTTATTTCTTCATCAATTAAGCAGGTAAAAGGTCTGGAGTTGATTCTAAGTGTGGTATTTTCATTTGGAATCTATTGCTGTGAACCTACATCATGCATTCAGAGGAGCTGTCCATGCAAGTGAAACAGGCCATTGTAAGGATTCAAAAACAAATCTATCAGAGAGATAGCGACATTAGGAGTGGCCAAATTAACAGTTATGGGAGTTGGGGATGGAAGTGTTCAGGAAAGGTATGGAGATTCAATATATTCTGGGGGAGGGGGGTTTAAGCAAAGAGATTGGGGAAAAAGGGGGGGCTTGAATCAAGAGAGAAAGGACATGGATTAAATTCAACACTGATGGCTTGTTGTTAGTAGGGTCTCTGTGCCTCTTACCTTTTCAAACAACTCATTCAGTTTATAATAGAGATGACATGCAAAACGTTTGTGTATATGAAAAACATAAAATACCTTTTTTCTTTTTGTGATTATGTATTCTCTCTTCTGAGCTTCAAAAGGAGCTCATAGAGCAGGGGGAGGAGAAACAGCAGCACACTGAACTTCCGGTGAATGGTTGTTCATTGGGGGGGTATGTCTGCACAAATCTGATGTATTGTGCAAGAGCAGTCAAAGCACAGGTAGAGAACTGACCACAATGTACTCTCTCGTGCCTAGTGTGATCCCCCTCCCCTTTCCCCCCCCCCCCCCCCTCCTTTTCCTCCCCCCTTTCCTTCCTCCTTCTCCCCCCTTCCTCCTCCCCCCCTTTCCTCCTCCCCCCTTTCCTCCCCCCCTTTCCTCCTCCCCCCTTTCCTCCTCCCCCTTTCCTCCTCCCCCCTTTCCTCCTCCCCCCTTTCCTCCTCCTCCTCCTCCTCCCCCCCTTTCCTCCTCCTCCTCCCCTCCCCCCTTTCCTCCCCTTCCTCCTCCTCCCCCCTTTCCTCCTCCTCCTCCTCCTCCCCCCTTTCCCCACCTCCTCCTCCTCCCCCCTTTCCTCCACCTCCTCCTCCTCCCCCCTTTCCTCCACCTCCTCGTCCTCCCCCCTTTCCTCCACCTCCTCGTCCTCCCCCCTTTCCTCCTCCTCCTCCTCCTCCTCCTCCTCCTCCCCCCTTTCCTCCTCCTCCTCCTCCCCCCTTTCCTCCTCCTCCTCCTCCCCCCTTTCCCCTCCTCCTCCTCCCCCCTTTCCTCCTCCCCCCCTCCTCTCCCCCCCTTTTCCTCCTCTCCTCCCCCTTTTCCTCCTCCCCCCTTTTTCCTCCTCCTCTCCTCCTCCTCTCCCTCCCCCCCCTTTCCTCCTCCTCTCCTCCTCCTCCTCCTCCTCCTCCCCCCTTTCCTCCTCCTCCTCCTCCTCCTCCCCCCTTTCCTCCTCCTCCTCCTCCTCCTCCTCCCCCCCTTTCCTCTCTCCTCTCCTCCTCCTCCCCCCCCCCCCCCCCCCCCCCCCCCCCCAGAGGGACCAACAGGAACACTAGGTGTTTCACTCAAAGGAAACCATACAAAGAGAACAGGATACTTTCATACAAGTACTTGGTACTGCAGATACACATCAGGAATATGAAAAAATTGGGTGTGCGTCTTCTTTAATCCAACCTTTATGGAATGTGTTGAGTCAGATGTTTGTTGTCCAATAACATGTATCTGTGGTTACTACTATCTTATAGTGGGGTGTTAACTTAAAATTACAAACCTCCATGGTTTTCTCCCTCTTCAAGTTTTAACAATGGTAGTTGTATAGATAACAATTTTGTCATGCTTGTCAGGGCTAAAGGCCTTTCGTTCACTGAAGATGCTCTCTGTTCTGTTTTTGACTTTCTGAAAACCGTGTAGTATTTCCTTGCTTTAGCAATCATTTTGTTTTCTTGTATTAAAAATATACATTAATCCAAATACGCTTCTGCATGGGTAAGGGGTGTTTTATGGAGCAGGGTGTCCCCACCTTCCCTCGAGGATGCATTGTATGCCATGCAATCAGCCATGATCAGATTTGGGAGGCTAAGCTGATTTCTCTGTTCACAGGATCGATATGATGAGGAGATTGAGGTGTACAAACATCACTTGGAACAGATGTACAAACTCTGCCGGCCATGCCAAACTGCTGTTGAATTTTACATCAAACACCAAAACCGGCAGCTGAGGGCAATCATGCTGAACCACCGACTGCAACGAAGGGAGGTTGACAAAAGTTATGTACAGGTAGGCAGATGAGATGTTGCTTTTGAATTGAACATCTTTATGGTAGAATTACCAAAATGTTTTAAATACGTTTTTAACCAGCAAAAAAACAACCTGTATGAACGCTGGACTGGTCATCAAGGTCCCGGCCTGCCCCCTAAGTGACATGGGCAACTGGAGCTAAATGCTGCATTCCAGTGGCAGAATGTGATTGCTTGACTGTCAATCCAACATCACAATACCCTATTGCCCTGGTAATAGTGGTGATCAGTGACTTATAGTGGGATTGTGATAATGCGGCGGGCGATCTGACACTAACTGACACTTTGCGGGAACTGACCATCATCAATACTATACGCTGTCACTGTACGAATGACACTGACTGGGAGGGGGTTAATAGTGCCACACAACATTAAAGGGTGTTCTTTTAAGACTTTCACTGTTAAGGAGAAGGTGCCTATTCTTCATAACAATATTATATTTGGGTGGGGAAACTCTTTTGATCCTTGTAACAATACCTGTTAATTGAATGCCTTGTCACGTGCCTTTCAGAGTTTTGCCAGTTCCTCGTGGATGCGGGTTCCTGTGCCAGTCATTGTCCTGCGCTTTCTGGCATTCCTCAGCTGCATGTTCCTGGTGTCTGTGGCCTGCTTGGGTTCCAGGGATCTGTTCCCTCCTTCCTTGACAAAAACTTCCAGATTTGAAGCGCAGATCGGGAACGCCTCCAAGCCAGATATAAGGCAGCCCACTTTTTGGGAGGGGGTCCTTGATCTCCTCCCGGAGCATACGCTGGAGAGCATTAACGACGCATGGCACTTTGGGAGAAACCATCAAGTTGGCTTAGTGGTCTTGGGTCTCCTGGCTTGTGTCTTCGCCATGGTTTTAGCTGGTCGAATCAGGTCAGTATTTCTAATGTTTAATAAAATTTCAGGTATGTTCAATAGGTGCAGAGTACATTTTGGTCAACATAACCGTAAATTAAATTCTCATGATCCTGCAGCTCTGGCTCTCCTGTTTGTAGGGAGCACTCGACAGCAGCTGGGAATTCTGGGAGCCTTGACGGTACTCATAGGCTCCCATGGTCCAGCTGTTGTAAGTGCTCCCTGCATTAGCCACTCCCTGACACCAGGGAGCCAGAGCACGCTTTATACATGGTACCTGTCAGGTCTTATATTCATTTTGAATTGAATTTTCAAGCCTATAATTTTAGTTTTTTTTTTTTTTTTTTTTTTTGTTTTTTTCAATCCTCTCTTGTAGATATGTCATCAAATAAATCTTATGTTTTTTGTTTTTTTTAAGGATGCGACGAGTTGACGCTTGTGCGTCCTTCCTTTGGACCCTGGTGATGGGCATCTATCTAGCAGAAACCTACCTTCTTAGTGAATCACCAAGCTGGCTGGACACTGCCAAGCTTGGCACAACATCCTTGTGTTGCCTGGTCGGTTTTGCCTCTGCGGTGGCCACGCGGAAAGCAACAAGTCAACGGAGACAGCGGCCACGAAGGTCAGATCAAGAACAGTGAACCCTGGGACCTGAAAATCACTCTTCCCACTGTCAGCTGTTCATTGTACATCTGTCCGCTCCTCCTCCTCCTCTCCTCCCGTCCATCACTGTCCTCCAGTCATCTCTGTGCTGTTCAGTATTAGAATCAGCCAAACTGTGTAGTGCCATTTTAGTGGTTTTATGTTAGGTTAGTTCCCAGCACTTCCTGGTCTCCTCTTATTCGTTGCCTGAATCTGCTATAACTAGTAATAGGACTGCCCTTAACAGGAGACCCTTCTCAGGAAATGTTCACCTTTCTGAAGGTTTTTTTTATATTATTCTAGGCTATAAATTTCCCTGCTTAGTTACCATGACTTAGAACCAATGCCCTAATAAATACCTCGGCTCTGGTATACTCTCTGCACAGGATTCAAGGACTGCAGAACGTAATGGAATCCTCTTCCAGGGAATAGAAGGGCATAGTCAAGGAGCACAAAAAATAAGTTCTAAAAAGAAAAGTAGAGCGTGACTACAATCTTGTTGAATAACGTGTACCTCCTAACTAAAGGTCTGCTGTCTGTGACCCTTATTGGGGAGATTTTTCTCTACCTTCTTGGACTAGGTGGCAACAGTCACCAGAGCAGGAAGAGGAAAATCTTCTTCAGAATATGGACACAAGCAACAGTAAATGTCTTGACCGTTTTATAAGTCTTCCAATTGCAATCCAAAACTACTGTAATATAAAGATTTTCCCCAGACCTCTACTTTTTAAAGTTAGTAACCCCCTCCCCCAGTACTTAATATCTTATACCTACAGTTGCCTTTCCATTAGTTCTGATTTTATCTTCAAGAGGTTCTGGCAGCTCCAACACCAAAGCCATGAAGTAAAGGAACCTAGCAGAGCTGTAACAATTCAGTTGTGATTCCTCCCATCCTGCTTTTTTGCCCTAGTGTTATGGGTAGCCTGGTTGGCCAGTAGGTTTGGGGGGGGTGGGGGTAACCATCCTAGCGCTGGATGCAAATTGCTTAGAGGTTTGAGTGTGCGTGGGGGTTTGCGTTCAACCATCCTAGCGCTGGATGCAAATTGCTTAGGGATTTTTGTGGCCTCTGGGATGTGTGGAGAGAAAACAAGGAACATTATGTCTTTGCCTCTGCTGTTCCTCCAAAACGCAGCTAAAGGTAACACTACATGTACACTTTAAAGCCCTCCAGAGTGAGGCATAGTTGCATAAATTTCATCCCAGCTAATTAAAGCAATACGCAGCTATATTTTAATCAATGACGAAAAAACTAATTTTTTTTTTTTTTTTCTTTTTTTAATACTTGGAATCTAATTTTCTCTGTGATTTGTGTGTAATGCTTTTTTTTACGCAATGTTTTTTTTTATATTGTGGTTTTGAGGGCTGAAACTTAATTTTGTAGCCTATAATAGGGGTGAACTAGATGGTTTAATTTCAAATGTTTGTCCACGTGTGCCATTTTAGCATTAAGTGATAGGATCACCAAGAAGTGTGTCATATTGTGCTTATGGTTTCCTACACATCATCTGGTCCCTGCTGAGCAGGTGGATGATAGGTCCGTGTCCGCTCCACTTATGCAGGGTGGACACACAGCCCATTGTCCTCCTGTGGGCGATCAGGTGTAATTGGACCACCTGTCTGTTTACATCCAACTTTCATCCTGTCTGCTAGATGGGGAACGCATCCCTATCCATCTGGTTTTCAGTGGATAGATTTGGATCGGATGCAGGCAAGTGTAAATGAACATGTCCATTTACATCAGCCGCTCCATAGAGGGCAATGGATGGTCTGATCGGGTCCACCAGAAAAATGGGCAGGTGGACCCCTTTTGGCCTGCCCGTATGAATGGAGCCTAAAACAAATTTTCTTCAAATACTTTCTTGACCAGACATTTAATTCGCTGCATGTAATTCAAACAACATAAAACTGGGCTTGAAGTTTGAAAGACTAGTCTTAAAAGCAGTGTCCATCCAAAACTGACATTTTGGTTGTTTGGGTACTGGGGGTCATTTATCCATTTGGTTCTTTTGTTTCTTTCTGGGACTCCAGAATTAGGAGAAGTATGACCAAAGCTTTTATGGCCATGTTTTTCTGGGTCACAGGAGTGCACTTGTGCCAGCTTTCAACGGGCTAAAGTTCACTGCTGGTTGATGTCAGACGCTCCAGGCTTTGGAAGTATCGAGGATCTAAGTGGATCCCGACATTGTCTCGATTGGCAGCTGGTTCAGCTTCTCAGCATTCTGATTAGAGCCTAAGCCAGCAGCTTCAGCCCTCTTCACGGCCCAGTGAGCACCAGAGGGGCGGGGCAGAGCAGTGACTGACAGCTGCTGCTCTCTGCTCAGAATGGATGGAGAACTTGGCGACGTGATTGTTCACTTCTCTGGCTTATAGCTGGCAGGAGACAGCTGCAGCAGCACACTGCAGTCATAGAGGTGAGTATAGATTTTTTTTTTTTTTGTTTTGACTCCCATAGTTCTCCTTTTTTAAGACTTTTTGCTGGCGTCGCTCACTCACTGAGTCTCGCTCCTCTTGTATCTTCCACTATGTAATTTAAACATGGGGGGGGCAGCAAGATGTGGACCTGAGTGCTAAGGTCCCACCTTCAGAGTTCTTTCAAGGTCCACTAAGCTTATGCACTATTCAACACTATAAAAACCTTTTTTTTTTTTTCTTGATCTTTTGGGGATAACACAATCCGTTGCACTGTGCACACTAGAAACTTCTTCAGACTGGATTTTCTGGTTTGCTCACTTGGTCAGAGAAACATTTGGCCACATACATTTGCACATTAACAGCAGTTCAGGGCTGAAACAGCCAAATCTGCCAGCTGGTTGGCTCCTGTATAACTGCTTTGAGTAGAAACACTTTCTTTTCATATTTGTGTAAGCACTGATAAAATCAAGTCATTTCATTCTGACCTTCATACAGCTTTAATATAAGCTAGGTACATATTCAAGTAGCCATGATGCGGTGATCATGATGCGGTGATCTTGTAGGTGCTAGAATAATCCCAGTTAAATGTGAGTTTGCTGCCTTATTATAAATTTTAGTGAAAGATTAATATTTAGCATATTTTAGAGGTAGGTTGTAATCTCTCGTACTACACTAATAAAGAGCAGATCTTTGTGGCTATGCATCACTACATTGTTTTTTTTTTTTTTTTTTTTTTTTTCTTTTTTACATTTTTGCAGAACAGTTGCTGCATTGAGAGCAGCACCCACAGACAGGGAAATGCCTGCCATTCATGTCGATGATTGGGCTTCACCAGAAGTATGCTGAGATCTGATCACAGCACTTGCTGGCTGAATGGGGTTCTGCAAACTTTGGTGCATCAGCAAGCTACAAAACATGGCTCTAGTCAAATTTTTGTATTCCCAGTTATTCATTTTTGTTTGCAATGAGCACAAATGTATCATGACTACAAATGGCACAAATCTATTTAATATTGAGGTAGATGTAGGGTATAATATATGTGATTCTTATAAATTGTGGTGTTATTTATACTTAATTATTTAATCATTGTATTTATCTTTGGTGCACTTTTTTAGATTAAAGCATGGCAATGATGTATCTTTATTTTGCATTTGTTTGCATACATCATTTTTTGTTTCTGGGTAGCTGGATGGGAAGCCTACTTTCTGAACAGCTGATCAATTTCAAGAATTGACCTGTTATTGACTTAAGAGTGAGTACTGCATGATAACCTACAAACCAGGGGTGGACTGACAACTCATGGGGCCCCTGGGCAATAGGGGATCATGGGGCCGTGTCCTTGCACACCCAAAAAAAGCCTATAAAAGGTACCGGGGTATTTCATGGGGCCCCCTACTGAGCCCGGGCCCTCGGGCAGTGCCCGAGTGCTCTAAAGGTCAGTCTGCCCCTGCTACAAACACTGAAAGTTATCGAACATATAAACAAGATTTTTTTTTTTGTCTGCAGTAGGAAAAAACACCAACACAGGGACCATAATACCACAAGGTAGAAAGTGGCTTTAAAACGTTAATTCTGATTTGAGTCCTGTTACAATCTGCATACAAAGACAATTTTGTTGAGGAAATGGGAAATCCTATCGAGAGTAATTCCAACCACTGTTCTCCTTACAGGTGGAGTCATTTAGGCCCCTTTCACATGGAGCAGACTTTGTTTTGCTCAGTAGGAGGATCTGTCTGCTGATCCCCTGCTGAGTAGAGCAGGCGGATGACAGTTCCATGTTTGCTCTGCTTATGCAAAGCTGACACAGACACAGCCTTCTGTGCTCTATGGGCAGTCAGATGTAAACGGACTGGCTGTCCTTTTTTACCCCCGGTCCACCCAGATGGAGGGGAACAGATCCCCTTCCGTTTTTGTTTTTAGAGGATCAGATCAAATTGGAGGTAGGCAGGTGTAAACACACACATCCATCTACATCCGCCGCTCCATAGAGAAGAAAGGAGGGTCTGCCTGAAAAACAGACAGGTTGGCCCGATCAGATCAATCTTGTGAAAGGAGCCTAAGACTGGCCATATATTATACAATTTTCTTGAGATTTTTGGCTTAGATTTACCAAAAACCATATAATAGGAGATCTAACCTAACACTTTCAATTTTATCCAATTAGGCACTACATAGTTGAAGGCAAATCTAAAGGAAATTGTATAGTGTATGGCCAGCCTTACCCACTGGTCCCATTGTTTTGGGATAATTGTGGTAATTTGTTTTGGTAGTTTGGGGGGTTTGCTGCCCTTTTCCAGAACCAAATTCTAGCTGTTAAAAAATAAATAAATAAATACCTGTGCTCTTCTTGGGACCTCAAATATCTGCAACTGATGATGTTTTCAAACTTCCAGGCGGCAGCAAAGGGGTGACCATTGCTAGCAGTGTAGAATAGGTCATTGACATCTTCCTGGGATGCATGATTTGTTCAGTACCAGACAGACGAGTTTGGAAACAAGCAGCCCATTCTGTAGTGATAAATCTGTTCTTCAGCGCTTGTATTGGTGTATGGCACCGATTCAAGCAATG